TTTACTTGTTTCCGTAGCTTTCATAATAGATATATAGAATCTAGATAGCAATAGAAGAGAGGAATATAGAATCTATATAGCAATAGAAGAGAGGAATATGTTATTATTATTGTGTTAGAGTAGATAGAAGGTCGTAACGTATGGAGGGGTGTCGCTTACTATTGTATGTATGTATGGGTGCCGACATTCTGGTAGGTAGGTGTGATATTGGTACCGGTACTAACATGATATTATTAAGAGTAATCAGTTACTATGAGAGAATAGAGTAATCAGTGACCATGAGAGAATATGTGACTGGATTTCCATATGTGTAACGCTCTCTTCTATTTCTTTTTGTGAGTATGGACATCCTTCTATAAGCATAGTAACCAACCACTTCTTCGTATACTTTATTTAGGAGTCCCATTTATGAAAGAAAAGAAAGAGGGGCTGGGCGTGAACCCAATTGCTACAGGAATATAATGGAACGTTACTAATATAGAATACTGTAAAAACAATAGAAACAAGAATGCAAATAGAAGTGAAACATTCCATAAAATAGTAAGACATATGACATATTACTTTTCTCACTCAGATAGTCATCCGAACGCTAGACTCAAGTACTCAACAAGCAAACAATCAATCCTTAAGGAAAAGGAAAGCCCTAATATATGCTCAGTACTCAGCAATAGGCACCCAACAAGCAACTGCAAATTCCACTTGTTTAGATATATTTCATTCCATTCTGAACTTTGGAGTTTATGTTGTTCGTTAGGTAGTTGAAGCGCTAGTCCTTTCTTTCGGCATGAAGTTAAGTGAATGAAGATAGGGCACAAGAACAAGTAACGGCTTTCCTTACACTAAATGCTAACGGGAGTTTGCGACTATAGCTTACGTGAGTTAGTTTAAGTGAGGGTTGCCTCCAATCGTTCTTCAAATAGTGAGTTAGCATAAGAAGCAAAGGGTTCTGATATTCCTGCCACCAGTTGCGCCTTAGGGAGTTCTTATAGTCTAGAGGTGTAGTTGATTTCTTTGTTGACAGTAAAGGCGCTAGATTTAGTACCTATTCTCAGAGGCTTGTATTTGATATTACTTGTTTCTATGCGCTAGCAAGTTATGTATTCTGGCTCGCTAGCAATTACGTATAGGTCCAATACTTATACCAATACAAGTTATCAAAGTTTGAAGTAACTAACTAAGGAAATCAACGACTAACTACTATAGGCCTGCTGCTGCTGAGCTCAATTCCCGCCAAGTATATACTAGACAAGTAAGTCCAAGTATGGAAACACGGAATGTTAGGCTAAAAGCAAAGGGATATAGGCTGATAGCCGGTAAAGTAAGCCCGAGATGAAACAAGGTCAACCTGAGAGACCGGAGTGGAAAGGATGCAGCTAAGGGGGTTAGGCTTGGCTAATCAATATTATATAATACAGCTGAATACAGAATTTGACAACTCTGACTTATCAGTTTATAATACGTGAATGAATACTCCATTTCCAAAATAGAATATAGCATGAGAGCAAGGGGTCAGAGGCCCTTATAGTAAGTGTTAGATTAATTCCCAGGGAGTGCCTAGACAGCGAGTCAAAATAAGTAATACCAGAACGAGATAGAGGAAAGTAAGGATGAGATCAAGGAGGTTAACTCGCTACCGCTTTTCAGCTCGTAGATGCTTTCGGCGTCAGCGAGTTCAAAGTGCGACTGCTAACTATCAGAACCGAACTATCAATACAAAGAGTTGACCTAGTGCTGGTAGGGCTACGGACTCCTTTCTCTTATTCTTCAACTCATGGGCCCTATACAACATTGCTAGTGCATTAAGTAAGGTATAATACTGAGTATTGTTCTAAGGATTTATGTCCGATCTTGCGCAGTAACAGACTTGTCTTGTGGTCTCATTATTGTGAGTATTAGGCTTCGAGTAGTGAGCACGAGAATGGAATTAGTAACGAGGACTTTCATGCCTAGCAGACTGGACTTGCACCTGATTCCTCAATGTAACCTGGGAACCCAGCCTTGCTTTGACTTTCTCTAAAGCTAACTAACCCGCCCTTCCTTACTTGCTTTCTCTATAACTACTGAGTGGGATCTTGGCTTTATTGCTTGACTCTTATACCTCTTACTGTATTCTTGAGTTTTCTTGTTAGACTTACTTTACTGTCTCTCAATCTAATACTTGTTCACTCAATTCTTTGGTTGTTGTATTAGCTAACTAATTCTCAGACTCATAGTTTTATGGTAATAGTCAGAGGGTAGCTTATCAAGAAATAGACTTCTAATGGTAAGCATCAAAAATAGACTGATTCTGGTGTAAGCTTTGGAATCAAACAAGTAAGTAAGTAAGGGAATGAAATAAGGGCTAACTGGACCGAAAACAACTCTATACTTTAAGAATAGAGCGGGAACCCGGAATGAAAGAAGGGCAAAAAAGACTGCTGCTCTAAAGTGAGAATCATTGCCAGATGCATTAGAATGAAAGGAATATCGGAGGAATCTCCAACTCGAGCATAAGAGTGAAGGTAAGGAAAAAGTAAGCCCTAGATACAAACATAGTCATAAGAAAAGATAGAAGCACAAATACTGGAAAAAGAACCACGTTACGCTAAGCAAACTACCAGTAACATATCATATGAGAAAACACATTCTATACTATAGATGTAAGGAATACTTAATTGTGTCTACATCGAATATAGGATGAAAGCAAAGAAAGGCAGGCTATTAGTTGGTAAAGCAAGGGTAGAGAATGAAAGTGTGAGAAGCATAATCAAACAGTAGATACGGAAGCCAGCTTTGCAGCAAGTAAGAATGAGCGATACTACCATAAGATAGAAGAATTACCATAAGATATAAAAGAACCAGAAGATAGAATAATTACCATAAGATAGAAGAATTCGCTCTGTTTGGAGGTGCCTCATATCAACCCCAATTGCTATATGGAAATATGGAACGAAAACCCACCCGACTACATTGATGGAACGAAAACCTACCCGACTACATTGATGGAACGAAAACCACCCTACTACCTACTCCACTATATTTCCCTACTACCTAACCTACCATATTGCTTCTACCAATAGAAAAACGACCTTATACTTGGATCAATGGCCCTACTCGAGATTATTGCTTGTATTAATGGAATAACTCATGTCGGCACCCTTTCCTTCCTTAATAGTGTCTGGATACCTAGGCTATTTACTCCGCCTTTCTATACCTATTCTATTTACGATTAGGTGCATAGAAGGATCGAATCACTGCGGACAAGATCTACCCCGCTAACTAGGAATTCCCTTACTGACTAGTGGAATCAACCTGTGAACTCAACTCAAACCAAGGAATCAAAAGCATAAGCCCAAGCCTTACTCGCGCCTTTCCCCCTTCAATTGCTTGTTTTGCAAGAAGTCTAGCTCTCCCCCGGTTATAACTATTGCTTCTAGGACTCTCGCTCATACTTATTAGACTTCAATCAATGTAAATAGGACTTTCGCTCATTGCTTAGAAGAAAATATAGGCTAATGGAACCTAATTACTACTACCAAAGACTACTGATAAGAACCAACCTCCAAAGTAGGAATCAAAGTGGGAATATAAATAATGAACTCTAGTAATAGTATATAAGAACCGAACTAGTAGTATACGAGGACTTCCACTCTAAAGTGAGAATCAGTATTAGGTTACGATGCAGCGCATGTACGATAAGAGTAAGACAACAGCCCCCACGGAAAAGAAGAAAACTCAGAACTAAGGCTTACTGCTTGCCTCGCCCCTCCTTACTGAAACTCTTGCTTGTTAGTTTGACTCTGCTACTCCCTTCTCTCACTCGTAAAGTGGTATCTCTCATTCTTCTAATTGATACGAGCTATGCTATCGATACATGCAAATAACTAGCAGATTGAACTACTCTAACAATAAGAATGCTACTACTAACTATCGGATTGAAACTTGTAATAAACAGAAAGGCACTGCAGCTTTTAAGGTTTCCCTTCTTTGCTGTTAGCCTGTCCTGACCGCCTATAAGTATGACTTGACTTGCTTCCAAACCGCATCTACGCTTTCACTCACCAAGCACCTACGCGCAGATATCTTAGATAAGTATATTCCAATAGAGAGCAAACTAAAACGACTTAACCAAATGCTGGATTCCTTAACTAGGGCTTGTTCTTCCACTGCTCACAATAATCAAACAAGTTAATAGGAAAGAAACTCAAACCTAACATCCTGACTATCTTTGTTTTCACTCTCCCTCTCTTTGCTTGAAATAAGTAATCATAATAATTCCGCTCGTAAGTGAGTCTGTCGCTCCCTTCTGTTACTTCTTCCTTAGAGTCTTGCTTGCTTGCTAGGCTTAGCTTACCGCTACTCGCTGTCACTCTTACGTACTGTCCCACATAGAGCAGACTTCTAGTTGTTCCTTTCATTACGTATTTCCTTTATCACAACCTTAGTGCTCCATCTTCTACTTCTTCTATACTTCCCGAACCGCTAGTCAACTTTCCTGATCCATCTTATGGTCTTGCTTCCTCACTAGATTCATTCTACAAATTATTAACCTTTCTCTACAGGACCTCGAACTGTTTCTTCGGGAGCTTGTTTGTTTATTCAATCTCATTTTCTAGAAGCAAAGTCACTAAACACTGATTACTTTAAGTAAGGGAAGGATAAGGCGGGAAAGAAAGTTGTTATGTTAACTAAAGTCAAAAGGAAGAAAGAGAGCTTTAAGAAAAAGAATTGCATTGAAGTCCACCCCACCCCACATAGCTTTAAGATAAGTCAAGGCAAGAAGGTGCTAAGAGCCTATTTTTCGAAATTGAAGCCAT